GCAGTCACCACTTCTGAATGTGGTGTTCTGGAGTGGGACTACCTGCAGCGATTAGGTTTGCATGTTGAGGAAGCACCCAATGGATATGTCCTCACCTGGACTGTTCTGTTAGGCCCTTGCACCCCAGAACCTAGGGTTACAGGGACACCTGTGGGACTCTTCCACCCCATGGAGGCTGGGCAGGACTACTCCACCATGACCAAGGGTGTCAAGGGCAGCCAAGGCCTTGCTGCTGGGCAGTGTATTCAGACCAGTGGCCTCAGGCTCTGCACTGAAGGCCATCCTGACTCTTGGGCTCCACCAGGCCAAGGTGACACTGTGGACTTGATGAAGATGACAGATGCTATAACTGGAAACACCTGAGGTATGTTTCAGCCCCAGTTCTTCCCAACATGACAAAAAACACCTCACTGGGGGATGCTAGAGGATGGGATCACTGCTTTAAATTCAGTAATTAAAGGGAAAGAATTAGACATTTGTCTTGCTTTTTGAAGCAGATTGTTCCAGGGTGACCAGATGGTCAATGAGTGAGAATTCTCTTGAGAGATTTCTAGGAAGAGAATGGAGCCCAGGGAAACCAATCCCTACCCAGGCTCTGCCCTGTGCACATAGCACCGTGGTGATGCCTGGCTCAACAGGCTGGTCAGACAGCCTGGAGAACTCCACATGGCACTGGCAGCAAGCCCAGCCTCTGGAAACTCCTTAGGACAAATGTCTTGCTTTCTTTAGCAAGTAAAAATGCAGGGAAATAAAAAACAAAATGGAGGAGGAACCATTAGATTAAAAGACATGTAGAAGACATGAAAAACAATCAGGCAAAACTAACCAGCAGTGCTTTGGGCACAAGGATATTTGCCTTTCCATGCCTTGCCAAGCTTGGCCTTAATTGTATGCAGTGTCCAGCTTCTCTATTTAACAATAAAAGCTCTTCAAAGGATAAACTTTGTTCATCCTTCAAGGACTTAACTTCTTCCAGGAGGCCCTCTAGGATCCAATTAGCATGGACTTCTCTTTGTCCTTTCTCAGTCCCTGCAGCAAAGACATGAGGATAGCCCTCTCCCCAGAAAGGTGGGCAGCACATGCACTCACACACACGTATATACACAAACATATGCATACATGCATGTGTACACAAACATGCATGCACACACCATACACTGGGGATTGGTCCTAGGACCTCAGGCTCCCTTTCTCACCCTGGACTCCAGAGTGCTGGTCTGAGGAGGGGGTTATGCTTGGAGGACACAGTGTCCCACTCCCTTGGGCCTGTCCCCCTGGAGTCTCTGCCCTCAGCCCCCTACTGGGCCCAAGGATGAAACCAAATCCTTTGGTAATGACACCCGCGCTATTTTGGAGCTGGGCTGGGCTCGGCCTGGCCAGCAGTGGGGGTGGGGTGGGGGCGGGCCCAGGCTTCTCCAGCTGACAGCGTCTGCCTGTCCTTTCGTCCCCATCCAGTCTGAAGGAGGGCCACGCACAGGCTGCTAGGCAGGAGCAGCGTAGGTGCAAGGAGGGAGGCCCGGCACCCTGCCCCACGGTCTGTGGCCCCGACCCTCGTAGATGCAGGTGAGAGGGTGAGAGTTTGGCAAGGGTGGGGCATGGGCCACCCAAGGACCCCTGTGCTTCTAGAGGGTGGCTCAGCTGAAGGTCATAACTGTGGGAGATGGTGAGTGGCTAAGAAGACTACTTCTAGGCCCCAAATTAAGGCAGCAGTGGGGAGGGAAGGCCGTCACATTGGACAGCAGTGCTAGGTCTACGGACTGTGCCCACTTCCATGCCCTGGCAACCCACTCCAGAGCGGCCTGGGGGTCCGGCTGGCCCTGCCCCCAGCTCTGTGGAGATGCCCGCTGACAGCTGGGGCTATTTTGAGCCTGTTGGCTCAGCAGAGGGGACAGCCAGAGGGGCATCTGACACCTGACTCCAGGAAAGAATTTCCCCTGGAGCAGGGGAAGCAGACAGCTCAAGGGTCAAAGGTGAAGTACCCCATGAGAGGCTGCCCATAGAAGTCATTTCTGGGCCACAGGCTGTGGTTTCTATCTCAGGTGGTGGAGAAAGGGGACGAGCTGATAAGATAGGTTTGAGGTGGCGTTTGGGAAGGGAGGGCACCAGTCAGGAGAGGGGCTTGGTGTATGGGGAGAGTCTGTCAACTCTCTCCCACTTTGGCTCATCTGGAAAATCTGCCCAGGAGCCCTGCAAGGACCAGAGTGGAAACATTCTTGGAAAAGTGGGGGTAAGAGCTGCCGAGGAGTGAGAGGCTGTGGCAGCCATGGGTCAGGTGCAGGGGCTTCTGGGCACCAGGCATAACTTCAAGTGTGGGGAGGTACCCAAACTCCTGGCAATGTTGGAGCAGGGCTCAGGAGTGAAGCACCATGGGACTGGGTAAGGGACTGGGGAACATAGGTAGGTTGCACAAGGGACCACCTTCCCAGGAAGGTGGAAGAGAATTCCTTGGGAGGCTGGGGATGGTTCGGGCTGGACTCACAGGGCATCTTCTCTCTGTGCCTCAGTGTCCTGGTCCTGAGGATGAGGTGGGTCCAACTGCTTCCAGTGCACAATGTGGCAGGGGAAGGAGGCAGCTGTAGGGTGTTCCTGGCCCAGAGGAGGACTTTGGCAGCCTTCTGGCTTGTTTTCTCTATGTAATCTGGGCCAGGGGGCAGGAAGGTGGGCATAGCTTGGGGGTCCTTTCTATGGTCGCTGGGGAGGGCTTCTTGAGCAAGCCCCTTAGATATATGCCTATCCCTCAAGGACCATGGAGTCTGCTGTCTCTGCGGGTGAAGGGTGGCTGAGCAGGGAGGCTTGGCATACAAGGCTCTCACCCTCACCAAGCCAGGAACCTATAGGGGTGGAGGGGATGCCTCCTTTCTGAGGGCTCTGCTACACTTCCCCTCACCCCTTCACTTGGGATCTGGGTGTAGCGCCCACAGCCAGGCCTAGTTTTGGGACTGTGGTGTGGTGATAGGGAGGATGTGGTGTCCTGCCTTTGGAGAACTCACTGACCAACCAGGTGATTTGGGTTGGTGCTCTGGATGGCCCAAAGCTCAGGGTAAGTGGCCCCAGAGACTTGATTCAAGGTGGCCCTTTCACAGACGGTACACCGAGGCCTTCCAGAGGGGAGGGACTTGGCCAGGAACCATGGAAACATGTTCAAGATGGGGCTAAACTCAGGGCTCTGGTCCCTGCTATGAGTAGCTCCCTGTCTTGGGTCCTCCCGAGGTCCAAAGAGCCTCAAGGAGTGGGTTGACAGAAGTGCTGACTGCATGGTGAGTCAGCAGCTTGCTGCTTCACTGTCCCGGATCCTAGCCCTGGTCCTAGCTCAGCCTCCCTACAGGGGATTAGATGGGATTAGGTACCTGAATCATAGGCCTGGAGCTGGGGACGCTGACTCCCTGCAGCATGCAACCCCACTTGGGGTACACAGTAGGGCACCTTGGCGGTGGTCCTGCTCTCCACACTTGGGATGACAACATCCCCCCACTCCCTCGGATGAGGGGAGGGGCAAAGCATTACACACTGGGTTGGCTGCTCTCACAGACCCAGCAGAGGTATAGACAGGGCTCTGGGCTCCCCTTGCAGCACCCATGTCAGGGCTGGCCCAGCTGGGGCTTGGCTTGGGGTAGGCAGAGAGTGGAAGTTAGCCTGCGCCTTTGGCACAGAAAAAGAAGGCACAGATGTCTGGTTTCATCCCTGCAGGATGCCCAGTTAGTGGAGCTAGGTTGGAAGACTGGGGAACCACTGGCCACCAGCAGCCCCCAGGTGGTCTTGGCTGTCCCACCCTGGAGTCCCTGGCCATTCCTAAGGGATGTCGTTGGTATTCTCCAGCTCACATTATGGACTGGGCACTGCCTCTGAACCTGCCTGATCCCAATCCTTGTAGGCCCTGAGTGGGAGGCAGGAGGAGGATTGGGGCAACCCCAGACCCCAGGACGACAGACTTTCTGAGCTCAGAGGGTGTAGGTACCATGGGGTATGTTGTGAGAAGGAGCTGGTTGGGGAAGAGAGGGAGGGCAGTTTCCATGCCTTCACTGCCCACATGCTAATGTATCACCTTGGGGGCTGGGGGTGAGCTAGGGAGACCTTATTGAGTAGGTGAGGCCAGGCCCTGGCCCTGGCAATGACTTGTTATGAAGAACCATGCACTGGCTATTCCCGACCCAGACTGGGTAACAGTTTGTCACTGATGTGCCAGGTTCTTTATGGGAGGGGGCAGCCTGGGTGAGGAGGGCTGGGGTGATGGGGGACACAGCTTGCCAGAGCATAGGGGGTGGGCTGCAGTGATGGGGCTAAACTCAGGGCTCTGGTCCCTGCTATGAGTAGCTCCCTGTCTTGGGTCCTCCCGACTGGCCTGACCCTGTACCTTTTGTGTGCACTGATCAGGGGAGGTGACAGGCCAGGAACATATGCCCATCAGGAACCTCCCATTGCCAGGCCCTGCTGGAGTCCAAATAGCCTCCACTCTTTGAGTAGGGTAGGTATAAACAGATTGGAGGGGACAGAACACCCAAAGGGCTGAAGGGGTCCAGAGCAGGCAAGGCAGTGTCTGTGTGGGAAGCTACATGCTACTACAGGGGGAAACCAGTCTGGGTGCCACATAGGGGTCCTGGTGGCTTGTGGTGGGGCCCTCAGGTTTGGGACAGGTGCTCAAGGGACAACTTGGTAGAAGTGGGCCTCAGTTGGGGATAATGGGTGAGGAGATGCTGTCATCAGTTAGAAAAGCCCATTGGGGGTGGGGGTGGGGCTCAGTGAAGAGAAAACAGCCAAACCACAAATCCCCAGAAGGGTAAATTTCCTCCTGAAGAACTTGCCAGCTGGGGATTACGCTCCCTTTGGGGAATGAGACCTAGCTTGAGCAGGCATCTGCAGGTACCTATGCTAGGTCAACCTTGGTTTTTGGGGCCGCACTGGGTGGGGGAGTGAGGTGGAACACAGATGAGGGCTGAAGACCCACCCACCTCTCTGGCCCACCATCCCCCCCACCCACACAGGTCCCTACCGCCGCAGCTGCCATGGATTACTCCCCATTCAGCGGCGCTCCCCGCTTCCTGACCCGGCCCAAGGCCTTCCTGGTGTCGGTGGGCAAGGATGCCACGCTGAGCTGCCAGATCGTGGGCAACCCTGTGCCACAGGTGAGCTGGGAGAAGGACCAGCAGCCGGTGGAGGCAGGCGCGCGCTTCCGCCTGGCCCAGGACGGCGACCAGTACCGCCTCACCATCCTGGATCTCACGCTCAGCGACAGCGGGCAGTACGTGTGCCGTGCGCGCAACGCCATCGGCGAGGCCTTCGCCGCCGTCAGCCTGCAGGTGGGCACCGACACTACGCTGGCCGAGCAAGCGCCGCACTTCCTACTGCGGCCAACTTCTATCCGCGTGAGCGAGGGCGCCGATGCCACATTTCGCTGCCGCGTGCAGGGTAGCCCGACGCCAGCTGTGAGCTGGGCCAAGGACGGGCGCCGCCTAGGTGAGCCCTCAGCACCTGACGCCCACCGAGTGCAAGTGGAGGCTCACGGTGAGGCGAGTTCTCTACGCATCCGTGCTGCGCGGCCCCGCGACGGTGGCACTTACACGGTGCACGCAGAGAACCCCCTGGGCGCCGCCAGCGCCAGCGCCGCCCTTGTGGTGGATACAGGCGCGCCAGGCCCTCCAGCGGGTTCCACAGCCGCGCTGCTGGAGCATCTGCAGCGGCGGCGGGAGGAGATGCGCCTCGAGGGCCCGCGGACGCCCCCCGGCAGCGGCACCCGCACGTGCACCGTGACTGAAGGCAAGCACGCGCGGCTTAGCTGCTACGTGACCGGGGAGCCGAAGCCAGAGACAGTGTGGAAGAAGGACGGGCAATTGGTGGTGGAGGGCCGGAGGCATATGGTGTATGAGGACGCGCAGGAGAACTTCGTACTGAAGATCCTGTTCTGCAAGCAGGAAGACCGGGGCCTCTACACCTGCACTGCCTCCAACCTAGTGGGCCAGACCTACAGCTCCGTGCTGGTCGTGGTGCGAGGTGAGCTGCGTGTCGACCGACTTAACACCTGGCCCTACACATCCTCGGTTCCCCAAGCCCGACTCACACCCTGTGCCTGTATTCACTTAGTGGAAGCCAGGCTTTCAGATGGTGGTGGCTTTCGCCGTTCTGAGGCTCCAGCTTCCTGGCCCGTGAAATGCAAGAGACATGGGGGCTATGACCCTCGATCTGTCATAGTTTTTGTGAGAGTCACACGAGTAAAGAGGAAAGCAGTTCTCTCGACCCCCACTGTTTTCTGACATACTCTTTGGAGTTTTGGGGCAGCTCTGAGCCCCAGTCCTTCATGGCTAGAACCTGACAGGAACAAGGGCAGCTGGTAATAAGGGACAGATTAGGTTTCTGGTAGAGCCCATGGGCCTCCTAGCAGCCCTGTGAAGGAGTTCAGGGAGGTAATTAGCCCAACTCTCAGTATAGTCACTAAGTGGAGAGCTGGGATTCAAGAGGGATCTGAAGTAGTGGCAGGGCTTTGGGCTCCCCACTCTGACCAGTGCTGTTCTGGAGTGGGTCCCTGGAGGGGAGCTGGCCATGTGCCCCTTTCATGGTGTGAGACAACCCAGACCAGCAGCCTGTCAGAGTACGGTTACCCTGGGAGATGATCAGGGTGCCCACAGCCCTCCCTAGAATCTGCTCCTGGAGCTTCCTCTGGTTACTGATCCTGCCTTGTCCAGACTGCAGATGACCCTGGCTTTTCTGCCTCCCTTAGGCTGCTAATAGAGGTGGGAGGGAGGGCATGAGGAGGCATAAATCTTTGTGTGGTTGGAGGTGTCCTGGGCCAGTCTGCATGGTCCACTGTACCTTTCAGGGTGAGTGGCTCCCCTGAGATGAATACTGGAGGCAAGTGTGGCCCCCAATCAAGTGTTTTTTTTTAGGGAAGACTCATTTAATCTTCCTTCCTAAGACCGGCCTCTTCATACCTGAGCCCACTTCCAATTCTTATCCACTGTGGGATCTTGGGCAGGATGCTTGACTCTCTCTGTGCCTTAGTTTCCTCATTTTTTTTGGGGGAATAGTCCTCATTCCTCATGAGTTCTTGTGAAGTGAGGGTCAGGAATAGTGCAGTTTACCTTAAGGGAGCTGACATATAGCAAGCACTAGAGTTTCACTGTTGATGTGGTCAGGGTTTTTCAGGCATTCCTGGACCAGCATGCCCCCTCCTTGTTTTCCTGGTTTTTGTGGGGTGGATGTCCACTCAGCTCTGCCAGCACCAATGTCTGTACTTCTCCGGGTGGCTCTTGCTTTCCACTTTACCTCACTCCCATCTCTTTTGGGAGGACTCTTGCCTTTGAGATCTGTGCCCCTTCTCCTACCTTCTCATCCTCACTACTGTCTTTTCTCTTGTACTATTTGGATCTAGGGGTCTTTGTTTCCTCCCTCTTCTATGTTCTCACCATCATCCTTGAGTTCTGAACCCCTTTCTGTCCGTGCCATACCCTAACTCTGCCTCACCTACTTGCCTCCCCCCTCCCCGCTTCTGGCCCCATCCCCTGTTTCTGAGCCCACCCTTGATCCCCTTGGGAAGGGCCATTCTCATGAACCTTCTCCTGGCAGAGCCTGCTGTGCCCTTTAAGAAGCGCCTGGAGGACCTGGAAGTGCAGGAGAAGGAGTCAGCCACATTCCAGTGTGAGGTACCACTGCCTGCCACTGAGGCTGCCTGGTACAAGGAAGAGACGCGGCTGTGGGCCAGTGCCAAGTATGGCATCGAAGAGGAAGGCACTGAGCGCCGGCTGACTGTGCGCAATGTCACAGCTGATGATGATGCAGTCTACATCTGTGAGACTATGGAAGGCAGCCGCACGGTAGCCGAGCTCTCTGTCCAAGGCAGGCTGGGTCGAGGTGAGGGTGGATATGCAGGGTACCTGGATTAGGTGTCACCTGTCTGACCCTGCCCTGGATTCTTCCCCACCCCAGGCAACCTCACTAGAAAGCTCCCTCGGAAAACAAGAGTGCGTGTAGGGGACACAGCCATATTTTGTGTGGAGTTGGCCAGCCCAGAGGGCCCGGTTCACTGGCTGTGGAACCAGGAGGAGGTGGTGGCTGGAGATCGAGTGACCATCACTGCTGAAGGCACGTGCCACACACTGACCATCTCCCAGTGCAGCCTGGAGGATGCAGGTGAGGTAGCCTTCACGGCTGGGGACTGCCGAACGTCCACCCAGTTCTTCGTGGCAGGTAAGGCCCTTGGGGAGTGCCTCTTTGATTGTGTGTCTTCCCTGGCCACCACTCCTGCCTTGGTCCACTAGGCAGCAAAAGACAGTAGCTATACTCTTCCACCCCTGCTCTGGGCCACAGCCTGCAACAGTGCAGGGCTGTGTTGGGCAGCACCAGGGTTGTGGTTCTGGTTTGCTGGTACTCTTCTGGTTTTGTTTATCATATTCTTTCACTCTCAGAAGTATCTAGTTTAGAACACAATTTATGTGGTTACCTAGGGATATGTAAAATGGGAGTCCTTGTGGTTTTTGCCTTGCTAAACAAATTAGAAGGTGTTTTGGAAAGCAGAAAGCCAGATTTGAGCACAAGGTGTGGGGTGAGGACGTGGATGTGTGAGCCATCCGTCCTGTTTCTGTTGGCTTTTGGTAGCACAAATCAGTCTCTCTCTTCTACCAGCCTTCACCAGATCGTCTCTTTGCTCAGGAAAGGGATGAGCCTCAGGCCCCCTTAGAACAGCACCCTTGAAGGGCCATTGTGCCCTACCTTAGCTGTCATCTAGCCCAAGACCCCAATGCACAGGTGAGAATTGAGGACTAGGATGGGAAGGAGTCATCCCACAGCCACATAGCCAGGTAACGGTGGCTTTGGAGTCTAGGCTGTGTCCTTTCTGTGGCAGCCAGGGACATCTGCATTGAGGCCAGGGTGGAGGTTTATGGCCCCCACAACCTCCTTGAGAATCATTCTAGTCAACCTGAACAGCTCACCTGTGGAGCGTTATTAGGAGTCTTGTGACACCATCTCCCTGGGTAGTCCTGGGACTCAGGGCATGGGGAATGGACCCCTAGTGACCCTCCCATTTGGTGATGGGTGATCTCTCCTTGGTGGGTACTCACATTGGCATCTGCACCCCTAGCTCCCAGGAAGCCGCCTGTGTATCCACCTTCCAACCCTGTGGTGAAGGCCAAGACAGAGGGTTCTGTGACCCTTGGCTGGTCACCACCTGTTTGGGACCAGCTTGTCACCATCGATGGATACCTGGTGGAGAAGAGGAGACTCGGTACCTATGCGTGGAGCCGATGCCATGAGACTGAGTGGGTGTCCACACCTGAGCTGACTGTGGCTGGCGTGGCAGAAGAGGGTGACTTTCAGTTCCGGGTGTCAGCTGTGAACAGCTTTGGCCAGAGTCCCTCCCTCGAGTTCCCGGGGACAGTCCACCTGGGTAAGGGGGGCCCTAGCCTGGTCTGGGGGCCAGGCTGGGAAGCTCTGCTGTCTACTGTCTCTGGTAGTGGTGCCTGGGGCCACCTTTTCTGCACTCCACCAGGTCCCTGAAGCATAGGACAGGGAACCTCTTTATTGGGTGGGGCTCACCATAGTTGTACTGCTGTGGAAGTCTACTTGGTGGGAGGAGAGAGGACCCTGAGACAGGATTCTAGCTGTCTGAGGGGTCTGCCTGTCTGTATAGCACCTGGGGACCAGCTGGGTTAGAGGGATCCTGAGGGGCATGTCTCAGGGAAGTTTCACTCGCCCCACTCTGTTGTGAGGCCCATGTGGAACTTGACTTGTACTCAGTGCCCACCAAAAGTTTGTTGGGCTTCCTGGAGGAGGATGCAGTTGGGCCTAGGCTTTGGAGGAAAGGATGGGGAGGGCAGAAGCTGATGTCCCTCACCTCCTTCCAGTCCCCCAGCTGGCTGTGAAGACACCACTGAAAGCAGTGGAGGCTGTGGAAGGTGGAGAGGTGACCTTCTCCGTGGACCTCACGGTGGCCTCAGCAGGCGAGTGGTTCCTGAATGGGCAAGCCCTGCAGGCTAGCAGCATGTACGTGATCCGCTGTGACCGCACCCACCACACACTTACCATCCGCACTGTGCCCGCCAGCTTGCATGGCGCCGAGCTCAAGTTCGTGGCCAACGGCATCGAGAGCAGCATCCGAATGGTGGTCCGAGGTAGGGGGTACTCCTGGCATAGCCCCTGCAGTGGGTGTTGCCCGGGGGCTGCCACCATGGGCTAGACTTGGGCTCCCTGCTTGCAATATTGGGGCCTCCCTGAGTCTCTGTGTCTTCCATATGAAATAGAGGTGTCAGTAGGACCCACTTCCCAGAGATGTGTGGGTTCAGTGAGTTCTGAGGCTTGGGATCTGTGCAAAAGTTATAGCCCAGCTCACATAGGATCTGTGTATGGGTTGTAGTGAGGAGAGCTGGTTATAGGGGCACTGTGACCTTGCCTTGCCTGCCCCCAGGATGCACATGGACTAAATGAGGCTGCTGTGATTATGCTGGGTAGGGGATGTCTCTGGCCAGGTGGGGGCCCTTCCTGCCTTTGGGGGCCCCTGGGAAGTGGGGCTGCCTTGGTCTAAGAACTCCCAGGGTTTAACTCCAGAGGCCTTAGGGTGTCTGGGTTGAGAGAGTGGCTGCGACTCACAGGAGGCCCCGGGCCTCGCCTGCTGGTGTGCTGCTGCTCAGCCCTTCTTGGGCTTCCTCCCATTTCACGTCTCCCATGGGAGGACCCCCAAGAGAGCTCTCTGGTCAGCTATCAGTGGGATGCCGGGTGTGAGGCCCAGATGAAGCCACGGTGGACAGGGCAGGGCACGGTGTCTCGAGACAGTTCACTCCCAGGCTGGCTGGGTGGTGTTTGCTAGGGAGCTGAGTGTGGGGAGGGGGTGGGGCATTGGAGCCTCAGAGAGGCCACTTGGGGTGCTTCTGATGGTGCTAGCCTCACCTTTCTACCTGTCTTTCTCTCCTTCCTCTCTCTACCTTTTCTTCCCCTTTCCTCAATCCCTTTCCTTCGTTTCTTCCCTCCCTCCCTCCCTCTCCTCCATCACCACTCCTTCTCCCACTCCACATCCTTTCCTCTGTTTCTTTCCTGCTTCCCTCTGTCTCTGTCTCTCTCTTCCATTGCCGCCTTTGCCCCTCTGCCTTCCTTTCTTCCCTGGGATGTTTCTGATCTTTGGTCTGCCTCTCCCTCCTCATCTGTGCCCTTCTCTGCATCTGTCTCCTGGACTTTTGTCTGTCCCTTTTATCTCTCTCACCCTTCATGGCTTTTATCCCTGCCTCCCTGCATTTCTCTTCCCTTCTCTCTCTCTCTCTCTTTTCTGGGCTTCACTTTCCCCATCTCTTTCTCCATATCTCTTTCTGCTCCCTGTGCCCTTGTTCCTCTCTCCCCTTTTCCCTATCCCTTCCACCCTCCTTCATCTTTGTCTGTGAATTCTGGCCTCTGTCCATGGCCCCTTGTCTACCTGCTGTGATTCTCCCAGCGGCCCCAGGGTTGATTGGTGATAAGCTGCCTGTGGCCACGGCCCAGAAGGTATGGGCACGGCTGCATGAGGAGGCCCAGTTGCTGGCTGAGCTGTCAGACCAGGCAGCGGCTGTGACGTGGCTGAAGGATGGCCGTGCATTGCCACCAGGCCCCAAGTATGAGGTGCAGTCATCAGCCGGGCAGCGGGTCCTTCTTGTGAGGGATGTGGCTCGTGATGATGCTGGCCTCTACGAGTGCCTCAGCCATGGGGACCGCATTGCCTACCAGCTCTCTGTGCAAGGTGATCAGGGTGAGGGGTCTTCTGGGATTTGTCTGCCCTTGTGTTTGAGGCCATTCAGTGAGGGCCATTGTTTGTCCTTGCAGCTCTGGGGCGGGCTTCTGAGGGGATGCTCTGGGCAGCAGGAGCAGTTGCTCTCTGATGCCTGGCAGGAGGGGAAGTGGGAATTGAGAACAGGTCTGTAAGAGGAATTACTTTCTAACAGTGAGTTCCTCATTGTTGGAAGTTAGCAAACTGAGGTTGGCCCTGTCACTGGTCAGAGACTCTGAAGGGGACTCCTGCTCTAGGGGGATCAGTAACTTGTAGGGTTCCCATAATTCCCCACCATCTCCACCTTTCTAGCTGGCCTGTGGCATGTCTGGTCAGGGGCATCCTGCTATCAGATTCTGTCTGTGTGCCTGGCTGCTTCCTGATCCAACCTACCTACCATTGCAGGTCTCACCAACTTTCTGCACAAGGAACCAGCAGGTGGCCGTGTAGAGGTGGTGGCTGGCAGCCAAGCTAAGTTTGAATGTGAGACCTCAGAGGCTCATGTGAGCGTGCGCTGGTACAAGGATGGTGCTGAACTTAGTGGCTCCTCCCAGCACTTTTCAAGGGAGGATGTAGGGACGTGGCACCGCTTGGTAGCAACTGCAGTCACCAGGCAGGATGAGGGCACCTACACCTGTCGTGCAGGCGAGGACTCTGTGGAGTTTCACCTCCGGGTCTCAGGTGAGTACTTTTGCCTCTAGGGGTGGACTAGAGTGTGTGCATGTGCCTCAGGCTTGCATGGGGTGGAAAGCAGGTCTGGCTGCATCCAGCACTTTTTGATCAAGTTGGTAAAACCAAGACTTACCTTCTGGGCTCCCCTTTTCAGTGAATGGTTGGGAGCAGTTGCTGGTCCACTTGGGCAAAGAAGTAAAATAACACTTAGGTGTTATTTTAAATGTTAAAGTAAAAGATAACAAGAAGAAAATGTAGGAATAACTTAAACTTGATGTGATCTCAAGTGTTCATAGAATTTTTTTTTCTCTCTGCCCCTGGGTATTTGTCACCCATCTGGACCATCAGGCCAGCTAGGCACCAGCTCCAATTTGCTTGGCAGCCTGAGCTGCTGGGGCTGTGACTGGGGCTAATGTCTGGGCTAATGGTCCAGCCCCAGCTCAGCCCTGCAGTGCCCACTGCTGGCCTTTCTTGCTAGTTTCTGGGCAACAGCAGAAGGTAAGTGGGGTGGATAACTACTGTGTCTTGCATCAGCTTGTCCCCTCACTCAAACAGGAGAAGACCCTTCCTTTTCCCCTTGGAAACCTGACCATAGTCCCTTGGGCTAACCAGCTAGTGTCTCCATTAGCCAGCTACACATTCCCCAACAGAAAACAGCTGTAGTGTTTTCTGTGTCCAGGTCCCCACCGGGCTCTGTGTCCATGTTTGATTATGAACTTCTTACTGGCAGGGACTCTTGTTTCTCATGCCTGTAGCTAGAGCCTGCTCACAGTCCTAACAAAACCTCTTGTTTGTTGTGTGTTCTCTGGGCCAGCCTCAAGGCTGGATTCTTGATTAAAAAATGTTTCTGAAGCTTTTATCCTGTTTTTAAAAAATGAGGAAACAGACTGAGAGAACCCAAAAGTCTCTTGAAGTATCCTTGGCAGATTGAAATTTGAACATAGGTTGGTATAAGGACTTGGCTCTTTCTAGGTGCTTTCAGGGCTCAGAGGCACTGTCTGGGCAACTGGAAGGTGAACCCTATAAGGGGTTCCCAAGGAGTGGGGATGCTGGGCCACTGTGGGCCCAGTCATTAGTGCAGGCCTTACCCCCAAGATGGGCTCTTAGGGACCTGGAGTCTGGCACACACAGTCCTGAGAATAGAAAGGTCTCCTGAAGCCTGTTCACACCTATCCCTTCAAGGCCATGTCCAAAGACAAGCACATTGGCATTTTAATTTCAAATGTTTAAAAACCCACGGGGGTAGTTGAATGGCTGTCACCTATGCAAAGAAGAAAATGTGATGTGGTTTGTTCTTGCAATGATGGAGTAAACAAGGAGGTACTGGTGAAGTGCAGTGAATTTCTTCTCTCCCCATCGAGGTACCTTGTGGACTGGTGCGGCCCAGTTTGAGGGCTGAGACAAGAACTCACCAAGCGCTCTGGGTGTGTCTAGTTTTGTTGGCCACTGGGTCCCCTCTTGGGGTTACCTCCAGTCCTCTGTCTACCCTTCTTCCTGGCACCAGGAAGATCTGCTTGCTGTACCCTTGTTCTTGCCCACATGTCCTTCAGTGAGGTATCCAGGAATCAGCCCCTGTGCATGGGCAGTCCCTGTATCCAGTCCCTGGGTCACCATGAAGGGTGCTTATGATGGGGCTATGGTTTCCTGGGATCTAGGGTCCCATTGTTGTGGATTCAGAACTTGGGGATGCTTACTTGGACAAATCTCTGACCACATCCTCCCTGAACCCAGAGCCCACGCCAGTGTTTGCCAAGGAGCAGCCGGCACGTAGTGAGGTACGGGCCGAGGTGGGGACCAGCGCCATGCTGAGCTGTGAGGTGGCCCAGGCCCAGACGGAGGTGGCGTGGTACAGGAACGGGAAGAAGCTGAGTGCGAGCTCAAGGGTGCACATGGAGGCCACGGGCTGTGGACGGCGGCTGGTGGTACAGCAGGCGGGCAAGGCGGATGCCGGGGAGTACAGCTGTGAGGCCGGGGGCCAGAAGGTCTCCTTCCACCTGGATGTCACAGGTGGGTCCCAGGCTTGAGTGTAGGTGAAGGGACCCTTGAGTGTTGAGGGTAGACTCCTCGGGTATGTTTTGGCACTTGAGGCACTCTGAGTCCCAGGCATTCTCCCTGTGATGGGCAGTGGTGGGCCTCAGTATCCTCTTGGGCCCCATCCTGTCTCATGGTATGGAGAGGGCCTGGGGCTGTGCTGGCTGGTGGATGCCCTAGTACCTGCTGTTGTGCAATGGCTGCTGACTAAGTGGCAGCTGCATGCAGCAACACAATTCCACAAGCTGTTATCTTTGGTTTGGGTGCTGGAGGGCAGAGACAACACAGCCATTCCACTGTCATTTAGGGAAAGGAACCCCCCATACCTTTGGATTCTCGCCCAGTGAGTGGGGTGCAGGCACAGCCTACATACTTGTCATTGCAGCATGGGCCCCAGAACCAGTGCTGGGTGGGCTGGTTGGGCAGTGATGCTTCAGGGCCACCCTTCAAACCTGCAAGTTAGTGGCACCTGGATCAGACGGAGCCTTCAGGGAGCAGGGGGCTGTGCTGATGGGACAACTTTCTGGGGTTGGGCAGACCACACATCAGGCTGGTGCCAGTGGGGAGAGCCTCTAGCAAGGTTGCACAGAGTTCTCTGTCCCCTCCTCCCCTCTGCCTGGGTTTACTCCCCTGAGCCAAGTGTTCCTGGTAGTCATCGCTCTCCCCACATTGGTCTCTCTGCTCCCTCCTTCCTTCCACAGTCTTCTGCAGCACTTACAAAGCTGCATGGAGTGCCACCATCCCTCTCTCCTGCTAGGCTCACAAGGCACTCAGCTTTCTCCTTGCACTCACCTTTCTCTTGATTGGCCCATGCTGGTGCTTACCTTTCATGTGTTTTAGCTGTACCTGAAGCCCACAGAAGTTGCAAGTTCCAGTTGTAGTGTACAAGGCAAGCCCAGCTTCCTAGCTCTTCCTCTGCTTTCTGTCGCCCCTGCAACTATGGTTCTAGCTATTGTTCTATACCAGGCCTGTGGGGCTATCTCTGTCATGGGAAGTATGTAGGCTCCCCTGGTGCCATGGCCTTAAAAGGCCCCACTTGGGCAGTAAATGAGCTGTGATTCCATGTCTGACAAAGGACCAGTCAGCACTCTTATGACTGAGAACAGTTAAACCAAAAAAGAAACCAAACCCACTGCCATCGAGTGGATTCCGACTCATAGCAACCCCCATTGGGTTTCTGAGGCAGTAAATCTTTATGGAAGTAGATTGCCCACTCTTTCTTCTGTGGAGTGGCTTGTGGATTTGAACCACCAACCTTCTGGTTAGCAGTCAGGTGCCTCAGGCACTGTGCCACCAGAGCTCCTTTGAGACCAATCAGGTTGTGGAAAAATTAGAATGAGGTGGAGGAGGATGAGCTGCAACTGAGAGCTCTCGGAAGGGTAGCTTTAGAATATTCACAATTCAGTTTATTTACAAGAAAAAGGTGGCTAGAGTTTACTTTTATTGTATTAAGTCATGCATTGGTTTATAGTGTTATGTTAATGGTTAGGAGTCTCTGGGAGATGCAAATGGCTATTAACCAAAACGTTGGAGGTTTGAGTCTACCCAGAGCCACCTTGGAAGAAAGGCCTGGCAATCTACTTCCAAAAAACGAGCCATTAAAAACCCTGTGGAGCACACTTGTACTCTAATACACCTGGAAGTTGCCATGGGTCTCAAGGATGACTAGTTTTATTAGTGGTTAAGTACTTTGCGTGTTTTTCTCACCAGTCCATGATCGCCCTGCTTTGCCTGTCACTGGGCTCCTCTGTCATGGACTCCAGTTCTGTAAGATGAGCTGGGCCTGGTCTGAGTCTCTGACTTGTGTTTTTCCCTGGAGCCCGGTGTCGGATTACCCGATAAGCAAGGTAAGCATGTGCTTACTTATGCTTGCTTACTAATCTGTAGTGAACAGTTTAACATTTTTTAGCACATCAAGGATTCTGCTTCTAGGGATGTCTGGCATCTGTCTCTCTCCCAATCCCACCATACCTTCCTATAGAAGCAGATCTTCTTTTCAAATTTGTGATCCCTGACAGGGATGGGGTAGCCAGTAACATGGTGAAAAACACTAAACTGTTCACTATAGATTAGTAAGTAAGCACAAGTAAGCCCATGCTTTCTTTGTTCATTGGATAATCTGCCCCTGCCAGAGTCTATGGCAGTGTTTGTCAAGGAGCAACTGCCATGAAGCAAAGTGCAGGCTGAGGTAGGAGCCAGCACCATGCCACAAATTGTGAGGTAGTCCAGGCTCTGATGGAAGTGCTGTGGTTCAAGGATGGGAAGAAGCTGAGTGCGGGCTTGAGGGTGTAGGTGGAGGCCATGGGCTGTGAGCATGCCAGGCAGATGCCATGGACCATAGCTGTGAGGCTGGGGGTCAAAATGTGTCCTTCTGCCTGGGTCCTCTGAGACATGCCTGGTGCCAGTCCAGAGGGCAGAGTTGCATCAAATCTTTGGTCCCATGCTACTTTGTGTATCCTGTCTGTTCCTGGCCACAGTTTCTTGATGCTCAGGAGGGGGAATGAGGGGCCAGGAAGGAATTTTTTTTATTCTCAAATTGGTGCTTATCTCCTCACCTCTGAGGGTCTCTTCTCTGTAACTAGTACTTTGAAAAAAAACCAGTATTCATGGTGTGTAATCAAAACACTTAATTTTGTCTTCCACAATCCTTTTAACATTTATTTAGTGTCAGAAGCCTCTTTCCTGTTCCTGTTAAGAATTTGTTTAGACCTGTGGCTTTTCTCTTTGTTCTTAGGTAATAAAATTTCTACGATGGTCATGTTATAGGGCCCCATTTTCAGTTCATAACATACAGCATTCAGTCCCATGTGGTCATAAAAACTGTAGCTTGAGTTTGTTATCTCCCTCACTGCCTTGGGGTTGGGCCCCAGTCGTGCATTCTTCTTTCTTTACCTCCTCACACAAAATGCTGCCTGTAGCTTGTGCCTCCTTGAATGGAAGTTAGGGGAAAGGAGAAAGGAGTGTCCTGAGGAGTTCTC